CTTCAGATGATGGTTTTGTTCGTAAGATGTTTAAAAACTGATACTGAGTATTATATAAAAATATTAAAAATTGCCGTAGTGTCTATTGTTTTATATCTGTGATTGTTGTACCGTCTGACAATAAAATACTGCAAGTACGTTTCTGCAAATCAATTACAAAAATCTGGCATGAAAACGAAGAAATTAAAAAAAGTAAAAAATGTCATCTCGTTGTAATAGAACTCCCAATTTATAAGATTCTTTAAAATATTATTAACAGTTAATAAATTTAAAAAATTCAATACATTATCACAAAGTTACAATTATTATTCTTGATAACTCTTTCGTTTATTCTTGATGTCAATTTTCATATCAATGACATACTTATATACATATTATATTCGTATTATACAATATATTCATATTTTCTATTTAGGTGTACTCTATCACCACCAATCGCACTGTAATAAAAAATCAATACATATTTTTCGACAAGAAGAAGAATCACTTAACCTAACACTTCAACCCCAACAAAGGACACCCTCCCCATTCCTCATTTCCGGCGTAAGATCGTCAAAGCTCGTGATTGCGAATAACCAGGCAAAAGACGCGAGAAGCAAGTTTCGAGAGGCCACTTCGATCACGAAGAACGAAGAGTAAATGTATATATATTTCTTCCTTTTTTTCTTTCTTGTCGCTCCCTTCTGTCGAAGAAGGGTCTTGGTACATCGAACAGAGGGTCGTCAGGCTAAAAGCACGGGCCGCAATTTGCTTGAAATTCCGCGGCGGGAAGTAAGTTGGCCGAATCAGAATCGACTGAAAGGCTAATTCAGGCAAGCTCGGGCACTCCAGGGTCACTGTGAGTTTAATCGAAAGGTAATTAGCATGACAAAGGGCGGCCTTTAATCGCGACGGGGCACGCGATTAATTTATTACGTAGTCGCGAGTCTCTCTTTCTTTCTCCCTTCGTCTCGCGATTGCCACACGTTTCGAAAATTCGTCGACACAATTCATTTATTTATCGATTATTCGTTCATTTTTATTCTTTTTTTCTTTTTTTTTTTTTTTAACGGCCAGAGACGGTTATTTGCTTCTTAATTTGGCGACGATATTGATGCAACAATGTGACGCACTATCGCCAGAAATATGGTCCGCGGATTTTATGCGAATACTTTTCAAATGAGAGATAGATAGAGAGAGAGATTTTGTTTCTTTTCTCAAAAGATGATGTAGTAAGATTCATGACTCGAACAGAGAGAAAGTTTTTCATCTCTCACAAATTCTTCGAACGGTTGTTTTTTGTACATTTTTGATAGTCGAATTTATGAATACTGTTATTTAAAAGTCTGGATCAGCATTTACTTTTCGAATGAAATATTCATTCCTGAGAAATGAATAGTATTGCAATTACAACACTGACTTTTAAATAGAATTAATCAAAGTTTTAATTTATATTGCGAATAAAATATTTATTTACTCTAGGAAGTATCGTTATTCTTTCTGAAATCTTAACATGCTCTACATTTTCTACTGTGTGTCGTTTACATTTAGAGTTGCCAACTATTGAAGTACAAAACTTGGAATCAGAGAAACAAATGTATATAAATGAAAGAAGCCTTGCTGTCTTCCTCCTCGATGAAAGGATAATAATCATTTCTCTCTTGCGAATAAACAAAACGAGATCTTCTACTCATGATATTAAATAAACAAAATCTAAGAAACCAGAACGATGTTGAATCATCATTTCCATCAAACACTACCCTCGAGTGATTCTCGCGTTATTGTAATTCTAAGCGAAGAGCCGGCGGCTTATCGACGAGACGTTTATTATGCAACCCGCTGCGAAACGCGCGGTTATTACCGTTAATTAAAGGCGTTTAATTAGGGTGGCGTCGTAGAGGTCACGTTATTCTCATGCTTTGTCTCTCTCTCTCTCTCTCTCTCTCTCTCTCTCTCTCTCTCTC